AACCCGATTTTGTGGGGTGTGTGTCTGTGTGTGTGTGTGTGTGTCTGTGTGTGTGTCTGTGTTTAACTGAGGTCAGTTCAGGTCAGTCAGGCTCGTGTCCTCAGAGCGTTGTTTTGATCAAAGTCCCGGACTGCAGAGAAACCCAGAGACCTCAGACTGCTCTCTCTCTCTCTCTCTCTCTCTCTCTCTCTCTCTCTCTCTCTCTCTCTCTCTCTCTCTCTCTCTCTCTCTCTCTCTCTCTCTCTCTGTCTCTATAAATGGGGTTCCATCCACCTGTCGTTGTGAAAAAAGTAATACAGTGGAAATACTAAAAATATGGCAAACAAGCTTGGCTGAGGTGTATCGATAAAAGCAAAATGTGACAAAATCCAGCGTAAACAGGCATTGCAAATGAACAGTTGAGACTCGAGGGAAGAGGTCTGTGGGGGGGAGGGGAAACTTTAACCCTCACCCCTTTAAAATTTACCTTTTACCTTTTCCCCCTCATTTCCCCCCCTTAAAAAAAAAATTTTTTGGTTAATTAGAAAAAATTTCCCTTTAAAAACCCCCCAAAAATTTTTTTAAAAATTTTTTTAAAAAAAAAAAAGGGGAATAAAAAAAAAAAAAAAAAAAAAAAAAAAAAAAAAAAAAACTCGTGAGGGAAGAGGTCTGTGGAGCGATGAGGACACTGTAACCTTCATCACTTTAACGTTTACCTTTTTCTCCGTTAGAGATTTGACTGCCGCTCGTTTTAATCACGTCAGCTTGTTGCTCGCTCTACCAACTGTTTATCTCATACCAGCAGTTGAGGATGGAGACCGACATTAAGTCACATTTTTTTTTACGGCGATTGCCTTAAAAGTTTGTTCAAACTTGTGCTACGTAGCTGTCTCTGTCTCTGTCCTTCTCTCAGTCTAACTATGACGACAGCTAATTTGCACATTACTACACTCTATACTGTATATACACTAATCCAGGGAAGTATCGGAAGTAAACAGCTCGCTGGTATAGCGGCGACGTCTCCTTACAGTGTGCATTTGTTTAAATGAGAATTAATATTTAGACAGATATTGCGATTCATGATTATGCTGGAATGATTATTTTTGATGATGATGTGAAATTGTTTAACCAAACCAACATGTTTTCTTAAATCAGGAGAACAAGATTTGTGGACCAGGGCACCTCTTCAGCTCTACAGTACTTCATTATAACGCTGTTTAGTCCTTTTTATAAAGGGAACGTATCTGGTTGTGTATACAAAGTGAACCACACCGGTCTGCATTGCTGTTTGTAATAAATACAGTGCATTTCCTGTAGCTGCTTCACAATAAAAGGCTCACCAATGGAACACATTTAACAGATTGGTGATCATTCAAACATTATAATAACCATGTACAACAACTTATGGCAAACAAATCATTAAAAAAAATAAATGAAAGAATGTATTTATGTATATGTGAGAACTATGGAAGAAAAGAGAGGGAAATCCAAGAGAGGAGTCTTATTTTGAAGGAGCTTGTTTTTTCCTCAAGTAAATATTGTTTTTTTGTTTAGGTCTGACACTCTCAAACTCTTGTTATTTGACTTTTATTTTGGTTTAAAACTTGTGTCTTTAAAGAGGCTTCAGTGTAGCAGGAAGCTCTCCTCTACCTCTCATTGTTTGCAGAGCGTCTTTGGGTTGCCAGGTTTGTTTGTGTCCCCCAGTTGTGGACAGTAACCCGTGTGTGAGAGTTTGTAGTAGACGTCCAGCGGCTGATGTACTTTTCTTTGTATTTTGGTTGGACCAGATTGTGTTGAGGCCGCGCTGAGTCTGTGCGCCGTTGCTCCTCTCCTCTGTGTGCTGTGTGCCTCCCGTCTTTCTATCCGTCCGTCCGTTCATCCATCCATCCCTCCCTCCATCCCCGTGGCTGACAAACAGAGGAGCAGCATTCCAGCAGTGCCCCCTGTCAAAGCATCTGTATTGTGGCGTGCTGCTCACATTGTTGTGTCAGACAAAGCCTCGCTCTCAGTGGAATAACCCAGCTGGACGGCGGCCATCGGCAGGGTCATTTGGGGCCAAACTGACAGCCCGGGCCCAGGCCACGATAGCAGGGCAGGAAACAAACTTTTATGTGTGTGTTTGTGTGTGTGTCTGCTGGCAGCAAGCTGAATCCAAAGTTCACCGGCCACGCTCACTTATTTACCAGGCAAACAGATTTTTTTTTTTTTTTATACAGCGAGTAGTTTGAGTCTGATCTGTGCTGCGGTTTTGAAAGGCTTGGACGCACCTCGGTAACTGTTGTACAAAAGCCAAAATACTCTCAATTGTACTGCGATCATAAGCTGTAAGGGAATCTGTGGCTTGTTTCCATAATGACACCCTCTTTTATGTTACTGCTGTGTCAAATAACCTCTGAGAAATAGTTTTTATGTGGTACATTAGTGCAGACAAATGGCTCGTTTGCACATGACGTAAAGGGGAAAAATGCAAGAAATTGAGCGAAGAACTCTGGGAAAATTGGCTTGCGAGTTAGTAGCTAAACCTATTTTAAAAAATCAGTTCAAGATTACGCTATATTTAGAATATTTTCACCACTTTACCTTGCCGTCAGACAGCCATTTCCGACGGGGAACTGAAGTCGTTATATCCATGTACGGTCTTTTTAAAGCCGCCAGACTCCCTTTGATAAAAACGGTAATTTTACCTCGCAGAACCCAGAAGTTTCTGGTCTACCGCTGCCTCGATCCGCGCCAACTAAAGTGAGTCCAGATCCGAATTAACGTGTTAAAACGCCAAAGTTACACAATAACACAAGCTAACTAACCCATTGAGGCAGCAGTAGACCAGCAAACTCCTCACAGAAGTGAGGTAAAATCACTCTTTTTATCAATGGAGTTTGGTGGCTTTGAACAGAGCAATAAAACGTCGTCAGTTCCCCGTCTTAAAAGACAAGTCTTTCGGTTAAGATGGAAAATTGCTCCTCTGAATCACGTCCGAGATGTGTTGTGATATATCGTTTGAACCAGCACAGCACAGACTTTCCTCCAGCTCATCCATTCTGCTCTTCACTTCCTGCCCTCCATCTTTCCCCCCATCATCACAGTCACATGACTGCAGACCAGCTGTTGGTTGCCGGTCATTTCCAGCCCACACGCTGCTGTTAGACGGGAAAAATCTTGCATTTCCGAAATGTCAACATCTACAGATTCCCCCCCGACCCCCCACGCCCCTAAAGTCCACCCCCATAAATTTTGAAGAAGCGAGGTTTTCACTCCTCTGCAGCGGTGTTTGGAAAGCCGAGTCCAAAGCCAGACAGATTCCAGACAAAATTAGTCAGCACCACTTGGCGTCAAAATGTACAAAAACAACTAATAATGTCGGTCCAAAACCACTGTCAGTGAACCGGCCACATTCCACTTTCTATGTGTGTGTGTGTGTGTGTGTGTGTGTGGGTGGGTCACATCAGGCAAATACAAAACAACACACACAGCAGTGGCCACAGTAGCTGTCCCTGTATTTTTTCATCTCTCCTGTTTATTTTGTCTACAAAATATGACAAAAAAGAAGAAGAAAATGCTTGTTTCAGTCTTAAAAGAGATTATTTGTTGTTCAATCAGAAGTCCCAAACCCAAAGATACTCGCTTTACTAACAGACGTGATGGAGGGAAGCAGCAAATAACCACAGTTTAGAGGCCAAAACTATTGAATGTTTGGCATTTTTGCTTGAAAAACTTGCATTACGTGAATTCAGCTATTAAAATAGCCTTTAATTTGAGCTCTACTTGTATTACCAGAGAGGTCTGTGTTGAGAAAAGTGTAGTGCATGCATGTTTAAATATTGGTATAAATAATCATTAATATAAATATAAAGCAGATGGTGACATTTGGCTGATCTTGGCTAATCTCAGATATAGCAGCTTTTCTTTTTTTGTACATGAATAACTTTATATTACAGTTTAATTCAACTTCACTCAAGTTACATTTAAAATAAATGTTTCACAGGTGAATTGCTCTGATTTAAGGCTTTTTTTTAAATATATATAATATGTTTCTGCTTAGCTACATTTGATGCATTCAAGTTGTGATTATTATTAGTTTTATTACTTATTTATTGTTTTCAATGATGTGCTCAAAATGTACTGTCATCTTATAGTCACTGTTATTTACATTGCTGATGGAGAACGTTATTGTTCAACTGTCCCGCTTCAGCACATTTATGTTTAAGTTGATGAGAAGTTTTTGGCAATAATCTCTATGAATTTCATGTGCAGTGTTTCAGGAAAGGTTACCTTTGCACTGGAGCCAACTGATACCGATTTTAGAGAAGAAATATAAACAGATAACCAATATTATGAATATTTAAAAGCTGGAATGAAAATGTTGCACTGATATGACTCTTCAGAAGGCTGCTTTCTTAAACTAATATCTTTTATAAAAGAATATTTAAGTTAAATATATAATAATAATAATATATATGTAAATAATTTAACATATAGGCTACATTGTCAACTAATCATAGAAATAAGTAAAGAATAAATACAAATAAAATATTGGCTAAACATCAATACTGTAAAAACTACAACCCTTATTTTATTATATACATTATATACTATATACACATCGTCATTCGTATCGGTGCATATCAGAAGATACATACAATATACAATACAACAGGATGTTGCTGAGGATATCGCTTTGCAGAAATATTACATTTGTGAAGAAAACAGTAAATCAGAAGCCAACAAAAAAAGCAAACTTTGTGTATTTTATCAGAGAAATGGATGGAAGAACGCACTGCTCTGTGAAACAAGCACACAATATAAAATGTCCATATCCACTTTCCCCACTTTAAGTGTCAAATAAACCGTCCACATTCCCAAAAAAACATAAACATCAGTCATTATATTTATTCTATAATTAAATATCAGTATCTGTCACTGAGGATCACACATGTGCTCAACCTGATGTTTACTGTTTGTGTTTACACTAAAAGCATTTGCTTACTTACGATCTCTGTTTTCTCTCTAATTCTCTCTCTCAGACTGAGCGACAGGAAGATAGAGGTTCCCCACCCCCTCCTCCTCCTCCTCCTCCTCATCTCTCTGCTCGGGGCACTTGACTCTGCCTGTGACCTTTTGGCCTCCCCCTGCCGGTGACCTCTGACCTCTTCACCCAGACCTCCTGGATGCAGAAAACAACAACAACAACATCAAAACAGATGACAAAAACGCTTGCAGTTTTTTTTTTTATGTGTATTTCATCTTTTATTTCTCTTGTGTTTTATATGCATATCTTGTCCTGTTTTTTTTTTTTTTTTTAAATCCTTTCCCCCCTCTTACAATCGATGCTGCCAGTGTGCGCTGCCCCCCCCCTCGTGTTCAACAGACTTATTCAACAGACAGCGGTCAGTGAACTTTGAGGCGGTGTCAACAGAACCCGAGATAATCTTATTATCAGATGGTTCTTCTTCTCCGTACGGTATTAAAAAAAAAAAAGGGAGGCTGGAATACTAAGCAAAGGCATTATGGTACTGACTTGGAAACTTTTATGTTGAGCTTAGAATATTAATTTTTATATTTTATTATATATTTTTTTTACCCCATGCATAATCCATCCTCAATACGGTACCGTAGAGTTATTACATTGTGGACAAACGTGGTAGAAAATGTTCTTTTTAATAAAAAAAAACAACTAAACGGATTACCCCTTAAATGGTACGAGCTCGTGGCGGGATCCGCCTCACGAGGCGACAAAGTGGCATTGCGCAACTCTTAACGTGCTTGCTCCGACACTTTACCGAGGTACGGCGCGGCGTGGTGTTCACACCAGTTCCAAATACAACTGGGAAACGGAGCTACAGGTCCTGCGCCAGTATGGGTTTATCACAGTGTGCTAACGCAGCGGGAAAACCTTTAAAAAGCATTACTCTCCTCATATTCTGTAGCACATAGTATTTATTTGTTGCAATAGGTACAGATGTTCCAGTACATTTCATTGTTTGCTCTCATGGCGGAGATGGTACCCAGCAGGGCGGGGAAAGAACGCCGGCCACCAATCGAATGCTGGAAAGTTTTATTCGTCTTAATTCCGTCTCCTCGCCAAGCCTCTAGCGTTTACTGAATCAGACTGAGGTGTTTTTAAAGGGAGAGCTCGACATTTTGGGAAATACGCTTCGTTCCCGAGTTACCTGAGAAGATGGTTAGCTTAGCGTAGCATAAAGGAAATCGCTAAAGCTCACTAATTAACATGTTAAACATTGTTTAACTTGTACGAAAAACCTAATGTTGTGTTACTTTAAGACAGAGCAAGGCTAGCTGTTTCCCCCTGCTTCAAGTCTTTATGCTAAGCTAAGCTAACCCTGCTGCTGACTCTACCTTTTGCCACTACAGCAGTTTGACGGCTGGTTTCGGAGCTGGTTGCTTAATCGTTAGCTTGTATTTATTGGCTGTTAAGCAAGCTCCTAACTACTAATTTAACTAACGTAACTTTAATGTTATGTTTGAGGTTAGTAACATTAGTGTGGGTATCGTATTGGTAGCTTACGAGCACCTAACCAGCTGGCATAACCTTAATAACAACAGTTAAACGTCTTTTTAAGAACCTTTTCCCAAAATGTTGGAACTATTCCTTTAAAACAAAACATGGAAGTGACTGAACGTAGCGTGTGGAGGTTTTGGAGACTCAGCTGCTATGGCCGGCGGAAGGAAAAAGCTGTTTTTACCGCCCTGCTGCGCCGTTCTTTTATCGAGTTTCCCGCACGAGGAAATGTTCAGCAAACCCAAGCAGGTGTTTGCTCTTTCCTTTCTTTTTTTTATTTCTCTTAATAAAGTCGTTCTATATACTGCAGGTGTTGCTGGAGTTTTGACCTCTTTTTATTATTTTTTTTCCTTTATCTTTTTTTTTTACTACATGGTCAGTTTTTTACCTCATGTGGTCCGTGACACGGTTGAGGTTTAGCGAGGGAGAGTGGCGCCGACACACACGTACACACAACGCTGTGAAGGGTAAAAAGCACAAAGTACAGACGTTGACACTGGGATGCAAACACAAGTAAACCGTACACTGCAGGACACACACACACACACACACACACACGCACGCCCGTATGTCATGAAGACACATGTCACGGTCATGTGGCGTCTCCCATGCCTGCTCTCATAACGCACACAGTAGTCATGCAGCCCTATTTAGGCAAGGGTACCTCCTGTGTGCCCCCCATTTTCGGCTCTCTGTCAGCGTCTCTTGGTGACGTCCAGGATTTTTCACACACACACACATGCACACACATATATATATATATATACATATATGTGTGTGCATGGTGGGGTGTTCGTCACTGGCTCTGGGTGACGTAAAGAGGTTTCCAGTAACCTGAGCTCCAGCCCCAGGTGCAGCGCGCTGGTCATACTTGCCCTGTTACAACTTCACACACACATACTCGCAGACACATATATGCACACGCACACACACACACACACGTTTGGACAGGCAGCGAACACCCACATCAATCACGGTCTTAGTCGAATGCTCGCTGCCCTTTCTCTCTCTCACACTAACGGACTGAAACACCCATATTTAGCATTTCTACGCGCGCTACTCTCCCATGACTAAAACCCACTCGACTGTTTTCATAGAAAGAAATGTGCTGAAACACAAAGACTGACAGCTAACGTAGCCCACAGCATTGCAATTTTTATTTTTTTTGTTCAGTATTCACTCATCTAAATCTATCTTTGCCCACTCTTTATATATTTTTTTTTGTTGTTTTTCTTTTTTAAATTGTTAGGACGGATGAAGGCCTGTCACTCTCACTGCGCCTCTGTGTGGGATGCATCATTGTCGTGCTTTTAGGGGCCCCCGCACAGCAGGGATGCAGAGGTATCTTTAAATAATTGGTGATGTCTGGTTTAGAGAGCAGCAGTGGTTTTTTTTAGAAGCTTGAACAGACTGATCTGAAAGCCAAGGTCAGATTGACAGCGCACTCGACGCTCTCTGAACTGCACATATGCGGTGAACTCCACACACTCCCTGTTCATCGAAGCTAATTTTCAGTCAGTGTTGGCGACTACGTAAACTTGGAGAATCGGTACTAAAGTCAGAGACGTCTCGGCTAGAGAACAGACGATACAAGCTGCAGAAATCTTTCATTGTTTAAATCCAATCAGAAGGAACAAAGGCTGTTTTTTGCTCATTTCAACGGAGGCCCTGAAGTTCTGAAAGAGGTTTTGTTTTAATATCTTCTGCCCTGTAATTATCTTTTCTTTTTGCAGAATATATTATTTTGTGTAAACAAGATATTTTTAAAACGTCTTCTTTCGGGACTTTATGGTCTGAGTTCCATTTTAGTATTGTTGGAAGTGATTGATGGAAGTCGAAGCATTAGCACCAAACAAAGATGATTTTAATGCCATATTTCCAGTTACATGTGGGTCATTGGTTGCATTTAGTCAATATTTTCTTAAATGAATCGCTCAGTCGTTGCCACAAAACAGTGAATCACAATTTCCAACTTCCCAATGTGATGTTTTCAAATATCTTCTATGACTTTGCAGCGGTCACTTTATATTAAACAGCAGAAAAATTGCAAATATTAAAGACTTTGAGAGGCTAAAAATAGTGATTTTTGCTTAATAATCGACTTACAGGATAAATGTTGGCATTAAAATTAGTTTTCTGTAAGTCGACTTATCGCCACAGCCGTAGTTTCTTCCCTTTATATTCGGGATACGCGGAGTTTACTGCATGAAGTCGAGTCGGAGGGTGTCGAGTATTTCATCAACATTAATAACCAACATTATAATCACCAAAACTACTTTTACTAGACCAAAATCCCACCCATGACGTGCTCCACTCGAAGACCGCGCCCTTCACCTTCACCTTCACCTCCATCCCATCTTTTTTTATTTTTTTACTTATTCCAGTGACGACGGAGCCAAAAAAAGGACACAGGTTACTCATCCTGTCAGGAGGATAAGAGATGAAGATTGTTCCTGTCTGTGCGGCTCAGGACTTAATGCTAACGACGTTAAATAGGAGAGCTTTTACAGGAGAAACGCCCCCTTTTATCGCCCTCTGGAGGGTCGGGATAATTAAGCTAACACCCCCCCCCCACACACACACACACACACACCTCACCTCACCTCCCCCCCGAGCAGATCCATGTTTTAAATGGTCTGATTTAAAAGTCCACAAAATGCTGTTCAAAGATTTTAAGCCTGTGATGTGTCTTATATGTACATTATAAACAATTTGAGATATTTTCATTTGCCCCTCTCCTCCCACCCTTTGAATGAACAAAGAATTGAATAGAAGAATATTTAGGCTTCGGCGACCCCCCACCCCACCCCCCAGACGAACGAGAACATGTTTTTTTTGTTTATGTTTGGAAAAATGTTTTTGTGTACTTACTATGCTACGGCGACGTGTTGCTTTTGAGTTATTTTTAACGCTACGGCAAAAGAAATGTTAGAGTTAGATTTTGGGGGATTTCTGGAAGAATCCCCCTTAATTTATTTGAAGCATTATTCAAAAATGGATTTATGTTGTTCATGTCTGATTGCCTTCATGTTGAACTTTAACCCCCGCCACCACCCCCCCTACCCCACCTCCCACACCCTGTTTAATTCTTTGTCATGACTGAATTACTTTACACAGAATCTGTGTTTATTTTGGCAACAATTCAACCTCAAAAACTGTCCTCAATGTTACCGATTCTGATGTTGAAAATCAGCTGTTAGGAATTTTTCTTGTTAGGGGTGGAGACATGAGACCTACGTAATATATATATATGTATATATATGTATATGTATACATACATATATATGCATATATATATATATATATATATAATCCTGCAGAGAAAACTTAGGGTACTGCATCATTATGCAAACTTTTGTTTCCTTTTTCCTCTTATCTTTTGGTTTATTTTGTATTCTAGTTTACAGAGGGAAAATAATCATCTTATTTTTGGTTGTTTTGTTGTATCGAGGCAACCTTGTGTCTCCGTAAACAAAGAGATGCAAGGGTAGTATTTTTTTTTAAGACTACATAGGCATTTTGCAGTTATTTGTATAATGAAACCTCTGCCTAATGTTTATTTTTTTGTAACTATATTACAGTTTATTTGCTGCTGTGTAGTACAGTTGGAAATGCTGTCGATGGCAACCATGATGATGATGACGATGATGTTCATTGCCCTGCTATCAGGCGCAGGTCAGTTTTTTTTTCTCCCGCCCCCCCGAGTCTTTTCCGAAAAGGAAAGGATTTCGGCGGAGGGGGGCGAAAAAAAAAAGAAAAGCAAATCCCACTCTACCCTGCTACCTGTGTTCTTAGTTTCCGAGTTGAATGCTGTTGTTTATTAGCTTTACAGGAAAGAGAGAGTTAAAAAAAAAAAAATTACTGTGGAGGTGTGTATCCTTCGTATGTGCATTATTTTTCAGCGACGTACGTCCTATTATACGAAAAAGAAGAAAAAAAAGAGTTTAAAAAAGGAGAAAACTGTGGTGGAAAACGGGAAATCCTCCTTCTGTAAATAAGGAAAACTCAAGTTGTCGCTTTTTTCATGTTATGATCGGCGCCTCAGCAGGTGCCCCCCCTTTTTTTGTTTTTATTTCCTTCTCTCTTTTTTCTCTTTGTTTTTTCCTCGTGGAGGGAAAGGGGGGTAGGAGGAGTACTCAGAGGCGATTTGAGCATCGGCATAGTGTTTATATTTATCAAAACTTTTTTGCTTTCGATAGAGCTATTGCAATAAAAATGTGTTCATGTAACCGCTGTGGTCTCGGCTGTCTTTTTGTTTGTGTCCGGTTGATCGCAAAAATTAATGCAAATTCAGCCAAATCCCCCCCCCAAAGAATTCTGCGTGACCTTGCAATCTTGTCCAATCACTGAAACTTTTCACTAAATTTGACCAATAATTGTAGTTTTTTTCCAGCGAGTTTCACCAATCATAAATATATTTATTGTCCAAAAAACATTGCAGTTGTTTTTGAAAAGCTGCCATAAAATCAGGTATTTTAGGCCACAACGATCCCCCCAGAAAGCCTGCATATTGTTTGTGTGTCATGTATTGTCATGGAGACCATTTTTTAAAATAAATTACACACAAAAAAAAGTTCTTTTGTTTTTTTTTACGATTTTCACATTCTCAGAGAATTTCATTTCAAAACAATGTCTAGAAACATCGACACGTGCGTTGCAATTTTTTTGAAAAGCTGCCGTAAAATCTGGCATTATAGGTTGCAAGTATGGGAATCTGTTTAACGTGAACAAGGTTCTTCCAATCAACAAAGTCTGAGTTTTGACAACAAAGAAATCTGGTGTAAATTAACCCGAAATTAACGTATATTCAGCTAATCCTCGAGAATTCAGCGTGAACTTGTGATTTTTTCTGATCGCAGCAATCATCGTAGTTTCCAGAGAGTTTCACCAATGATGGCAACCATTCATCACTAAACTGCTGACGATTTATTCTCACTGAAACAAGATGCCTTTGATTTTTTTAATTTAAAATAACGCACGCACAAAAAATCGCAACTATTTTTGCAATTTTTACTTCCTCACACCTAAAAACATCGTAAAATGCATTAAAAAAATTTTTAAACTGCTGTGAAATCAGGCATTTTAGGCTGCAACAGTCCTAAAAAAAAACCTGCAAAATCCTGAAGGGACTGTTTATTTGTGCACGCGTATCATCGTGCAGATATTCCGAGTATATACACAAGACTTCCAATCGGCTACGTCTGAGAGTTTTGACGTCATTGCAGACAAAAAATCTGGTGTGAATGTACCAGAAATGTTAATCTCTGTGTGTGTTTGAGAGTGTGGTGCAAGTGGGTGTTTGCTGAACACACACTGATGCCTGTGACCGACTCTCAGGCAAAGTGTATTTTGACACAGTGACTGTTTGAAATGTTCGACAAAGACACGCTTTGATTGAAGCAAAAGCAGTTTACCTCAGCACCTGGAAGAGCTAAAAAAAAGTAACTTGTGTCATCTGAAAACATGTTTTTTTGTGCTTTTTCTAAAGGTTTTCACTCCCACTGGAAGACCACATGATTCTTCTACAGGTTGAGAAATTTCCCTGATAAACTCTTAGTCTGATAAAATCCTTTCCAAACACCACTGATTATCTCAAAAATGTGCACTCGGGGTGGTGACGTCAATAAGTAGGGTCTGTCCAACACTCTGGTCAATTGCCATGATATTAATTTAATAATCTCTCCTCCACAACACCACAACAAGGCCACATTTCAAGCCCCCCCCCATGTCTGACACAGTTTCCCAGTGGTGTAACTTTAAGGCAAAAATGTGAATTTTGAACATAGGATATAATTATTTGAATATTGCAATGATTAAAATCCAGAGGTTTGCGTTTTGGCAGCCATTCTTGTGGTACATTTACACTTTTTGGCTCTCTCCAGTTTCCTTATGAGGCTATAAGAGGTTCATCACACTGAAAACAAACCAGTTTTATGGATGAAACACACCTAGGATTGTAAAGTTAGGCCTGATTTTGGTGCCAGATGAAATGCCATGTTGTTAAGTATAATTAGGTGTTTTATTCTTTATATGGTGGCAGGTTGTTAGCAATAAAATCACAATATCACAATATATTTCACAAGCAACCAATAAACAGCTAGCCTAGCTCAAAAATACACCTCTCAACACACATTGCTTTATTTCTGCACATTAAGAATAAGGAAACGGGAACTCTACACATATATATTTTTTTAAATTTAAAAATTCCAACAAGCGCTTGCAAATCTGCGCATTTCACCAAATTTATTTTCTAGCTTTTGTGACAATTTGTAAGTTGATTTGAGAGTCCAAGAGTCAATATTCACATTAGGCTATATATGCAAATTATCTGGGGGGAGAAAAGGCATTGACCTATTTTAAACATTACATCATTCATATCTATATTGCGTGCAGAGCTTAATTAAATTAAATGTTGACATGGAGGAACTGACTCATTGTTAGGAGGGATGTTTTTGTGATGTGATTGCTTTAGTGCCCCTGTTATAAACTCTAATCTCTCTCTTTTATTGTCAGTCATATACACAGAATCACCCTTCAGATAAAAACCAGGTTTCATTATGAATGAACGAAGGAGTACAAACATTTGTGTCGTCATGACTGCGGATCTTGTTGTTTTCCTCGTCTGATAACTGATAATCATTTATGTGTTTTACTGTTCTTGCCGTGACTTCTCGGGGCCTCGGCAAACCTGTTAAAAGAAAGTTGGGTGTCAACAAGAAAACAAGCAGCTTATTTCCTCATTCCTGGAGCTCTTTTTTCTTCTTTTTTTTTTGCAGATGAGTGGTTTTCAGCCGATGACAGGCAGTGTTTATCCAGCCCAGGTGACCGGCCCAGCATCTCAAAGTCCAACTGTCAAAACAATCCAAAGTTCACTTCAGTCATGAGAGGCTGTCAGCTGAGTCTTAATCCACCACAGGCAGCAGGCTGGAGTCTGGTTTCACCTCGTAAGCCAATAAATAAACAGCTACCCTTTTTTGTTATACATAATTATTATTTATATCATTTTCTTTTACAAAGTATGCTACATCAGTTCGTCACTACGATTCCACAAAATCACCCCTTTACCTGAAACACAAACCCTTTTCTTTACATTATTCATTAAACATGCATCTTTTCAACATTTAAATCTGATTTAACTAAACAGTAGGAGTGGGATTGCTTTTCTTTCTTACAGCTTAATCACATCCACAGCTTGTTTTTTTTCTTTGGTCAAACTCACAAAATAAATTTGAATTTGTTGCATTTTTTAATCTGGTTCAATTAAATGTAAACAAACATTAAGAAATATGTACTGATTGTGATATTTGCCTCACAAGGGCTTTTAAATTCCTACTTCAAGTTCAAGATTGAAAGCCCAAATTGGCTCTCTGTCAGGCACAGAGGAAGGAAAGGAAAGGGAGACGTCTTTGATTCCTTTTTTCTACCTGACAAGGAGCCACTTTGGGGTTGAGACATTGCAGATTTTAAGTGTTGGGAGACCTTGAAAGGCCTGAAACCACAGTTTAATTAGATTTAAGCGCTGCAGTTGCAAGCTAGTCTAATTTTACATGGACTCAAAAGCCATTTGTCTACGGTATCAAAGTAAATTCGAATAGAGATACAGGGGAGCAACTGTCCACCGATCATCCTAAAGACGTATTTGACAATGTTTTCCTTAACCTGAAGGCACCCATATAACCGTAATGTGGTTTGTGGATTCACACTAACAGACACTTTGTGACCGATGAATAATAACAAAATAAACCAGCAGTAAGTGAAACAGTGTGTGGGAGTTTTATGTACAATATATTCCAATCATAAAGATACATTATGTAACATTTCCGCATTATAATATCTGTAAACACTAGACCTAAGTTATATAATGTTGTCGAGTTCTTACATTATCCCAAATGTTCCCGCCGGTCCCGTCAAGCGTCAGCGTTGTTGTTGTTTGCCAAAAGTTTTTATAAATGAACTTTTTATCCAGTTTTAAGCCACATTTTAATTAAACATTATTAGATCTTGCTCGTTTTAAACTCTACATTTTAACCGGATTAAGGAATTTTGTCATCAGACGTCTGGATCTTAAGTTATCAGAGAAACAAGCTAAGCTAACGTTGGCAGCAGCTCGGCTCACAGCCCCTCTGGGACGCTGTTTATCACTTGTTTTTTAAGGTGGAACTGCTTTATTCAGTGTTTTTACCGGCTTTAATTAGCGGTCCGTTTGTTTTGGAGAGGAGGAGACCTGAACGATGAACACTGAAGGAATCCAAACCGGAAGAAGGTGACTGCAATGACGTTAATGGTAGCGAAGACAACAACTCCCATGATCCCACACTACTTCACAATATCACCAAACTTGTTTTTTGTTATTTTTTGAATGTGAGAGCAGCAGAAATGACATACTGTAGGTTTAATTCTGCTCTTCTTTCACCTGATTTAACACCTGTGTAGGTGTATTTGGCCTGTAAGAAAACATCTATTATGTTACTCTTTAAGGTAAAGCTTGCAAAAACTCTTTGCAAACATGCTGAAGACATGACCTCAGTGTCTTAACTGGTAGCTATGGCCACACAGCTTAGGTCCCCCAATATGGCCACTAGAGAGTGAGTTACATCACCTAATTATTTAAGGCTGACACACTCATTCATCATAACGTTCAGTGTGTGCAGGAAAAGGTTCAGGAGTTGATGGAGCAGGCCTGGCTGTTGTTGAAACTGTGACCTCTAATCGTACAGTGAACCCCTCTGCAACCACCGCTTCGCTGCTGACTGACTGACCTCCGCAGTGAAAGACTGGAGATACGCAGAGATATGCTGATGTATACAAGTGTTTGTGTGTGTGCATGTGTGTGTGTGGATGATGTGGGCCAGGCCAGGGAACCAAGCAGGGGGCATTTCAACACCAGCATGTGACCCACTAGGGTTTTATTACTGATGGACGAACCAGTGGGCCCACTGGGGACGTAGACTGGTGCTAGAGTTTCAAAACAACACCCAGTATGTGTCGGTGTGCGTGTGTGTTCGACCGCATATGTGTTAATTTGCACGATGTGGGCCAAGGCTTGGAGTCCACTGCGCGGATCTGTTGTAGGCGGCTTTTCAACTATTCGTGCAGCTATTAGCATCTTCGTCAGCGAGCAGATTCGAAATCCATGGAATCCCCCCGCTAACCCCTCACACACACACACAAACACCGCCGCAGATGGTTTCCCTAATGAGAGAGGATGCATAAGAGTTTCACCTGACCG